TTCTACATTCTTATGTCAAGATTTCAAATGTTGATTTTGTGCATGAAATGTTGACATAAGAATGTAGAAACAAGAATCATTAGTATAGAATATTGCGTTCATGACTAAAATATTCAAACTGGAATGTAGAAACAAAAATCATGAATATTGTCCCATTTGGTCTTCCATGCCCATCTGGCAACTTATTTGCCATCACACAACATCTTAATTATTTTCCATTTACTGAACAACAAAATATTACGTAGGCTATAATCATACGTAAAATATATCCACCCGAATCGCGCACTGTTATTAGCTATACATACCAGTTTAATTGTTATTCGTTTAACAAACTACTTTGCGACTAAAATGGCACTCGATTCATTTTGGCGGGAAAAAGGTCACGTGGACTAATAACAAAAACCTGGATGTCGATGCTACAATGTAATTTTAAAATACCGGTACCGATTTATAATAAAAACAATCATGGCCGCAGATCTTATTAAATTTTTTTTGGGGGGGGGGGGGACGGAGGTGGCGGTCGGAGTCCGATACACGGCTCGCGCCGCCGGCGCGAACCGTTCTGCGGGGGGTCTGGGGGTCCTCCCCCATAAAATTTTGAAAGCAGGATGCCTGAAAACGCTATCTGAGACCATTTCTGAGCATTCTGCAGAGATGAACGTACCGAGAATAAATTGTCGTGTTTGAGCGAGAATAATCAATAACTACACAAATAAGGGATGAGGAATATTCTTTATTTCATCATAATGAATAATTTCAGCCGACAGGCCGTCATCAAATACCAACATGTTCTAGTGGGGGTCTTGGTGCCTCCCCCGGAAAATTTTTTAAAATTAGGATGCCTCAAAATGATATCTGAGACCATTTCTGGGCATTGTACATGGGCATGTTCGGAAATATAGGCTACATTTCCCGGGCTGAAAATAAGACTTTTGAAATTTTATCGATGCATTTTTCAGGGGGGGGGGGGGACGAGGCATATGAAATCCCCCCAGTGAAAATCCAGGGGGGGGGGGGGGACGCGTGTTCCCATCCCCCCGGGATCTGCGGCCTTGAAAACAATCAATGTTTCGACAGATATTTTGCTTTCATTTTTTGCCATGGAAATGAAGACACGTAATTATTTTTTTTAAACCTGTAACGGGTTATTCTTCAGAAAAAAACCCTCGACACAAAAAACTCGGGCTCCCGGCCTCGGTTTTTCTTTTTCTATGGTTATTTTCGTCAGTCTTTCTTTTCCCAGCACAACCGAATTCTCGTACCTTATCCACACAAATTTTATACTAAAAGTGAACAAGTCCACTATCCTTGGGGAGGAAACTAGAGTACCCGGAGGAGACCCCCGAGGTTGTCACATACAAACGCGGTGAATCGAAACCACGCCACCTGAATCAATGACAGTCTATAGGAAACTAAACTGGAATTTTTTCGACATTTTACTTTTACCCCTTCTCCGTCATAGTCAGAAATTCAGATGGTCACAGAGTGGGATTTTGGTTCAAAAGGCACATAAATAAGGCTATATTGGACTACTTGGGCTGTGGTCTCATACTCCGGAATGGCAAGAAATGCATTTGTGACTGTCTAATTTTCCAATAACCCCCTAAATCTGTGTTCTGCCCTTCATTTCTCCTCAAGGCGACCCCCCCCCCTCCACCCGCCCACGATTGGGCAATACACGCGTATTTTAAACATGCATTATGCAAGAGCAAGATCTGCTTATTACAAGTCTATCTTTAGGTCTGAATTAAATGTTATCTAAATTATCAATTAGACATTAATTAACTTATCCAGACCATAATAAACTCTCGATGTCAAGGCTAGCCTTCGATAAAGGCTGGATTAGATTCCTATATGCCGCTAACGGCCAAAGATAATTAAATCAGAAAAAGTGGATAATCGAGACTATGCTGTTTATATTAATGATTTTAGTAATGATGACCGAGACTATGCAAAAATTTCACCCGCTTCTTTCTCGGCTCATAGTGGATCAATTTGACTGAAATTTTCAGCAAATTACCTTTACACTATCTAGTTTTTAACTATTATAGTGAGAACTGCCATCTCTTTATCTTATCTCCCATAATGTATCTTTAATAAAGTGGTGAGTACAGGTATGTCACATGCAGCTTTGCACATTTTAGCCCTGTTTCAATCACTGTTTATGAAAAATATCTTTGATCCAGAAAGTGAGAAACAAAAAACTTTGCACATAAAGTTTCTTATATTATTGAAGTATTTGATAAATTAATTCGGGAGCCACGGTGGCTAGGTGGTTAAGACGCAGATGACGTTACTCTTACACTTGCCGACATTAACTCCGTTATTAACACATTTAAAGAAATGAAAATTTATTGTGAGGCCTCCGGGGCCAAATTCAATGAGGAAAAATCTGAACTGCTGCCTATTGGAGCGGCTAAAGCTGTAGATATTAACTTACCCTTAAATATTAATATTGTTAGAGGTTTCATAGAAATTCTGGGAGTATATTTAGGACCAGATAAGGTTTCATGTGTTAAGTATAACTGGAAAACCAGAGTTAGAAGTATCAAAAACACACTTAATATATGGAAACAGAGAAGGCTATCCTTAATAGGCAAAGCGATAGTTGTCAATACAATATGCTTTGTGTATCAAAACTATGGTATGTCCTAAGAGTTTTTGATATTCCTGACTCTGTTGTCAGTGATATAAATTCTTATATCAAATTTTTTTTATGGAATAACAAAACTCCATTAATTAAATCCTCAACCGTAATAGGTAGCTATAAACAAGGTGGAATTAATATACCTAATATACACTGTAGACAGCATGCCTTCAGACTAGTATGGCTAAAAAGATATGTCGATCCTAATTTAAACTGTGTATGGAAACATTTGATGTCATATTTCCTATCATTATATTGTAATCTAAATTTAGATATTGAAGTATTTTCAATTAATATGTTTAAAAAAGGTTTTGGCCCTATGCCACCCTTCTACGTCAATTTACTCACAGCATGGGATAGTATAAATAGTAAAATTCGTATCAAACCATGTACATATAATAGCATTATGAATCAACCCATATTTTACAACCCCTTTATATTGCATAATAACAGTCCCTTATCTTTTAATTTATTCATAAAGTGTGATATCACTAAAATAGCTGATATTTCACACTGTGTTATACCCGGATTACTCCCCCTTGCATTTATTATAGACATGTTTGAATGTGAAGATATTGAAATGAAATGAAATGGAGTTTAACGTCCTACTGTTCTGCTCCTAACCTGCTCACACGTAGACCTAAGTTTATTAAGACTTGAAAAACACATGCTTTTGTTTGTTTGGTATTTTTTTTATTTTTTTTTTGGGGGGGGGGGGATTTTTCTTTTGTAAATTGTAGCTGCTACAGTGCTACTAATACTACTATGTAACTTGCTGCTTCTTCTTGGTGGTTTCGATTCCCCGGTTGTAGGCTACCTGACAAGGAGTGGGTCGCCTGTCCAACCTCGTGGGGTTTTTTCCGGGTCCTCCGGTTTCCTCCTACTGCTAAAGACACAATTGGAGAAAAAAAAATAACATTAAACCCATCTCTTAATGAATTATGGACATTTTTTATCTGGAGACGAAATAGTAAGAACAGGGGGTGGTAGGGCTGCGCTGAACGCAATCAAACCGCTGACAAGGACAGCTGTCTAGTCATGGAATTCGATATAAGAGTAGGCCGTAGCGCCGCTGCCCGGGCAAAATTTCCCTCATAGCACACTGTATGGCGTATGCCCGTCTTCATCAGCCCAGTATAGGACTCTTAGGACCAGAACAGTAGGACGTTAAACCCCATTTCATTTGCTCCGATAGACAAATTTAATCTAGTCTTGGTCTTCAAGCCCGTCCAATGAAAAATTACTAACTGAACCAGCTGGTATTGCGTGTGTAAATTGACCCATTTTGTCTGACCTTGAAATTATTTCCCAGCATTCGTTAAATACTCACATAACCAGTCACAATAAAAGCTTACAATAATAATAGTCGGGCGTTGGCTTAAAAGGGTCCAGTCAATCGGATAGATATCGGGCCTTCTCCGATCATAGGTTATACTCCTTTTTTTCTATTTAATTAATTCTATAGGTCTACATGTATTGTGAAACTTCTTCTGTTTGAGAGAGAAAAACTTGGGCTATAATAATCCTTTTCGAATGAGCCTTAAATATATATTAACCATAATGGAACAGCCCTTGATTATTTGACAGCTGAAATTCGATGAAGACAAGGTGGAAGTGCTGCTGTCCGGGCAAAATTTTCCTCCTCGCTTTTCCACTCAATTCAAAAAGTCTTTTTTTTTTTACAAGTGTGGAATCTTGATGTTATACATGGGCGTGGAGTTGGGGGGGGGGGGGTGCGGAGGGGGGGGTGTGGACGGGTCATCCCCCCGCCTTAGAATCGGAAGGGGGGACGAATAGGTCTTTGTCCCTCCCATGATTTTGATCACCAGGACAGATTTTCAGGTTTATATCCACATGAATGTCCCGTTCTGACGGCTATCTAACCACTGCCTTGGGTCTTGCCACAGTAATTCATCTTCACGATATCTTCCTCCTTAATTGTAGGAAGTCAATTTTCCTATATCGTCATCATATTACCCCTAGTTACAGCTTTCATCGAAATGGCACTAGTAAACTGTTCGTAATTATTATTTTGGTTTGGTAATGAAAGGTTCCAGCGTTCGTCCGCCCCCCCCCCCCAAAGTTATGACAAATCCACGCCCTTGATGCTATACATTGTAAAACTACAACAAACGTAGTGTAAATGTTGCCTGTATGTCGTTTGGAACTAAACAAGAATATCTACCATTTTTTTCTTTCTTTGTTTCAGTAACGACAAAACAATCGATTTGGAACATGACATTAAAATGTCCATTCATGAATACAGAGCAATATCCCCGTGCTGTGTCGGTCGTGTAGACAACGCAACCTAATCGCGTGTCAACTGGGACGTCTGGAAGTTCGAGGACAATCAATAACAATGGCGAACTTCCTGAAACGGAAAAAGTGGAATTGATATTTATTCACCGAATAGTTATAATTGCACAGTTTATATGACAAGAGGTTATACTAGTATTTGACATATTGATGTGTAACACCTCCAGGTATTATGAATACACTGTATTGGTTATCGTACCATTATTTGATGTCGTGTGGTGTTTTTGTGTGATTAGATTTTATCTACATACTTAGAAATAGAAGTAAAGGCAATTGCGAAAAAGAATTTCTATTCTGTGCTGTCAAATGCAAATGTCATCAGTAATTGATGTTCTTCATATATCATAACATTGACTCATCGAGGTCTTAGTAAATAGATTCATTAGGTTGACCTTTAAATTATTACAATATACAATACACACTGCGTGTAGAATTTAGAAACAAATTTACACCAAATCATGTTTAGGCCGCGGTTAATTAATTGTCAATTTCTCATGACCTGAGTTTGTGAAATATACATGCTACATGCAGTAATTATTAATTATTGAGATGAAATTTAATTTTTTTAGTTTAATGCTGTTTCTATTTCAGTAATATAACTAATGTCAGTTACGTTTCGGATGCGGGTAGGTGACGTTGCGGACTCGGGTATAGAACATGGAATTATAGAACACTGACGTTAATTTACTTTATAAACTATTTTATTTATTAACATAGCATAAAACGATAACAGCGATTTATAACAACGGGCATATTTATTTGATGAAATAATAGTAATAGCTTCAGTCGGGTTTTCATTTATTTTATAAAACGTACATTTATTTTATTTATTTTATCAGTTTCATTTTTTCAGTTTCCCAATTATTTTAATTATTTTTTCACTTTTCTTTATTGGGCGGGTGGGCCGTACAAATGGCTGAGTTTTTTTTTAATAGCCTAATCGTACTAATATCTTGGTGGTTATATTCATCCCATAGTTGAAATACCTAATTGCTTAACTATACTCAATGGCTACTCTTCACACTTAATTAGCTTTTTGTAGAATAAACCCCTGATTGTACGAAAAATCGCGTTTTTAGCTTGTGGACCCTACAGAGGTCATAATTTTTATCCGATTTAAAAAAACGTATTATTATATCACCGTTACACCCTAAGGACGACTGAGTTTGAATTTCGTGAAAATTGGCCCAAAACTGACAGACAAAATGGCCGCCGTTCGTTCTGGAATAGCATAAGAATATGTTATATCAAGGTTGTGGACCCTATAGACAGTATAGAGGTCACAATTTTTATCCGATTTTGTTGAAACTGGAAATGTAAGTTTATAACTCAAAGATCTTGGTTCCTTTCGATATTCGCACATATCGGACCGTAACTTCCTGAATTATGGCCCCTGATTGTACGAAAAATTGCGTTTTTAGCTTGTGGATCCTATAGAGGTCATAATTTTTATCCGATTTAAAAAAACGTATTATTATATCACTGTTACACCCTGAGGTCAACTGAGTTCGAATTTCGTGAAAATCGGCCCAAAATTGACAGACAAAATGGCTGCCGTTCGTTCAGTTCCTTTCGATATATGCGCATATCGAATTGTAATTTCCTGAATTATGGCCCTTGATTGTAGGAAAAATCACTTTCTTGTTAGCTTGTTCTCTATCCATCTCTCGAAAATGTGGGCGTATCCTGCCTGGCAGCCGCTGGTTCAGCTTTTATTGAGTCCAAAACGTCGCCAGTCCGAGTCCAAAAAGTCACGATACCGAGTCCGAAACGTCATCAAACTGAGTCCGAAACGTCATCAAACTGAGTCCGAAACGTCATCAAACTGAGTCCGAAATGACGTTTGTGTTGAGTGGGAACTGACGCGGGACCGAAATACGTGCTACTGTTGAAAACCCAATGGTAACCAGTGTCCGCAATTTATTCACATTTATTAAATATTTATAGATTGAACTATCTGTTGCACAATATAGTTGGGCATCGGAAGACTTTATCATAATAAATAAGGTTAAATTATGAGTGATATGCTTCTAAGTTAACGGTTCGTTAATTCATTCATTGTTGGCATTTCAATTCTTTATCCTTCCCTTATGGCCTGTTCCAAACTGGTTGATGATTTGTTCTGACATAAATAATTAAAAGCATACCCTTGGATTTTTAAATACAAAATAAGTTAGATTATTTAACAGGTCAGTCAAAGAATTTACTACACACGTGGTCGTTTCTCTAGCCGGGAGGGAAGATAGTACCAATGTCATGGCAATAGCCGGTATGTTAATTGTCTTCAACTTTGAACCCATCATCGAAATTTATTACAAATGACAAGTGCCTTATAGAGTATATATGCAGGGGCTTCGATAACTTTTCGAACTTGATTAGCAGAACTGCTAATCAAGTTAGATAAATTCAGGCAAATTTATTAGCAATGTCCAGTTTTAATTAGCAGTGTGTGATAGTACCTCTCTCATGACATATATGTTATTAACCGGCAAAAAACGTAGTAGGCCTATCGGAATAATTTCGATGACATTTCTGGGTTGATTCGTCTTTTGAACATTCAATATTCACAACCATATCATTTTTTGACGTAACAGCCATCACTCGTCAGTGCTGATATATCAATCAAATAATATTTTATGGATCGGGAGCTAACATCGAAACTTGCAATGCATCGATGATACATCGGTAAATTTGACAGACTTTAGCCTACAACTATGAAGATCGCTGTCGTCGATCGAAAATTTCCTGCTGCAAATCTCCGTTATAAATTTGCCATTTAGTATCCGCATTAATACTGGTGCCTATCTTTGTTATATATTCCATAATATCAATCCCATATTGTGAAGAAAATCAATGGATTATTTTTATTTTATCAAAAAAACGGGAGATCACGTGGCTAAGTGGGTAAGACGCTAGCTCGCTAGGCCCTTGATCACTTCAAAAGATCTTGTTACTAAATTATTATGGCTTGGTTTTTTCTCTTTTTACACATAAGAGACTTGAGTCAGTAAGACTAAGTAAAAATAAGAAAACACAAAAGAGCATAATGTGGATACAGTAAATTAAATACATGGGCCCTTATTCACGAAAACTTAAACTAAGATACAATCGAAATTTTAAGAAATACTGCAATTCGATTGGCTGACCAATATGCAAATTAGATATATGCAAATTGATTTTACTGGTCAGCCAATCGAATTGCAGTATTTCTTAAAATTTCGATTGTATCTTAGTTTAAGTTTTTGTGAATAAGGGCCCTGCTAAACGAATTATGAAAAGAATTCATAAATTCTGGATATAGCCTGTTAAGCTGAATCTAAATGTCTTAACTGATATTATTAGGCCTTATTGGCATGGATACCATTATCATGTACTTAGTACTTATGCTGTTTGGTAATTTTAATTATAAATTCTATTGCTAACGAAACCAGGACTTCCACTGTCTTGTCATTTTTGATAACACACAGAAAAAATTAAATTCATATTTCATGTTTTTATGTTATGGTAGGGTAGAGTGAATTCACATGGCTATAGGCAGTATAGCCTATTACATCTCTTTACACAATAAATTTATTGGACTACAAAATAAAATATTAGTAGGCCTACATTGAACACACATTATGCAAGAGCTAAATCTGTCTATTGCAGGTCTTTCTTTAGGCCTGGGGGGGTTGGATGGCCGAATGGTTAGCACGTGCGCACTGTATCATAAAGCCTGTCATTGGGTCAACTGGCGTGGTTTTGAATCCCCGGTTGTACGTGGCAAGGAGTAAGGTCGCCTGTCCAACCTCGTGGGTTTTCTCCGGGTCCTCCGGTTTCCTCCCACTGCTAAAGACCCCTATGCGCAAGCGAATTATTGAAATAAAATTAAACCATATGTTAGTCTCGAAATGACCTAGTTTGTGTCGAGTGGACGTAAAACCCCATTTCTCTCTCTCTCTCTTTTTAGGCCTGAAATGTTATCTAAATTGTTAATCAGACATTAATTAACTTATCCAGACCATAATCAACTCTAGATGGCATTGCTAGCCAGCCTAGCCTGCGATCTTAAGTGGATTGTGAGCCAATTTACTGCATAACTTTCCTTCTCGATTAAACGATTAAATAGATAATCGAGACTATGCTGTTTATCGTACTGACTTTAGTAATGATGACCGAGACTATGCAAAAATTTCACCCACTTCTTTCTCGGCTCGTAGTGGAACAATTTGACTGAAATTTCCAGCAAATTACCTTTACTCTATCTAGTTTTTAACTATTATAGCGAGAACTGCCATCTCTTTATCTTATCTCCAATAATGTATCTTTAATGGTTGTCCCCTTTTGGCAATTAAAATAGGTTTTATTATCAAAATTTCTTCTTTGCTTAAAGTAAATAAAGAACTGAAATGGCCAAAGTAAAATCACTCCATAGTGCCAGCTTTGTAGCTGTGCCTAATATGAGTTTCCGAATGGTTTAATGCGTGTGTGTTTGATAATTATGTTGGTCATTGAGTCAAATGGTATGGTTTCGATTCCCCACTTGTACGTGACAAGGAGTAGGGTCGCTTGTCCAAACTCATGAGTTTTCTGCGGTTTCCTCCCACTGTGAAAAAACCCTAGGTGCACACAAATTATTGAAATGATCTCTCTCTCTCTCTCTCTACACGTAAAACAAAAATCTACAAGATAAACCTGCGGACAAAACAGAAAATAGATATTGCACCAAATAAACAAATATCAAATCAAGTAAATGGATCCGGGGGCCAGCCGTAAGCGTCCACTGCGCTGTACAGTCCCGGGCCTGTAGTGACACAGACTTCACTCAAATATGAAAACGATCAGGAATACAAAAAAGACGTAACAGAAATAATGCGACCGATCTTGACAGTGGTCATCTCCTCAATGGCGATAGTCTGCCAGTTGACGTCATGAGTTAGAACGTCAAACAATTTTAACAATAAGGGCGATAATCCGGATAGAATCTCGGAAAACGCTAAAATAATAATATAAGTGTAGTGAGCAAACAGGAGCAAAACCCGACGAGAACATTCTGATTTCCACATTACGGGCGTCGTGTATGTATTGTAAGTATTTATAAACATCATCAAATAAATGACAAAGCATTTTTATTTTCTATTTTTCTAATTTGTAGCACAATTTCTAAGATCAGAACTGGCCATAATTTTATTTTCACATTTTTTTTTTTTTCAGATAAATGAAGTTTCAGAAGTTTAGTCGTTGATTTTAATCCAATTCTTTGATTATTGGATTCAAAATGACGGAATTAGACAATGACAACGCAGAAGGGCTGGATTGTGAGATCCCCTTTAAATTTGTTGGACATGAAGTAAAAATACAGCTGGCCAATAAACTGGACCCTGTCAGTGTTGTGACGGGCAATGATTGGCGTCTGTTAGCAGAAAAACTCGGCTACACAGCAGATGAGATAGAGGTTTGTTTGCTTTCAGTCTAATTAAACTGCAGCCGCAGTGGCTGTAGATCCCTTGTTTGATCCTGGTGTTGGGCGAGTAAGTTCATCGGGAAATTTCTAGTGTGGTTCACTGCTTGTTAATGATGCAAGACATAGAGCCTTGCAGGGAACAATGTCTAGTCGTTCGGTTGGGACGAAACACCCCAAGGTCCCATGTACACATTGGCATGCACGTAAAAGAACCCTTGGCAGTTGGAATTCAGTATAAGAGTAGGCTGTAGCGCTGCTGTCCTGGCAAAATTTCCCTCATAATACACTGTATGGCATATGCTTGTATTCATTTAAGCCCATTCGGAGCATGATAGTAAAATAAACTGTCATTGATCTTTAGGGGGGTTGGATGGCTGAATGGTTAGCGTGCGCGCGCTGTATAATAAAGTTTGTCATTGAGTCGACTGGCGTGGTTTCAAATCCCCGGTTGTACGTGACAAGGAGTAGGGTCGCCTGTCCAACCTCCTGGGTTTTCTCCGGGTCCTCCGGTTTCCTCCCACTGCTAAAGACCCTTACGGTGCTCCATCGAGCCCGAGCACTTGAATCACCATTAAATTTGGGTTTTTTTGTCGAGCACCATGAAGCTAAAAATTGCTTCAATAATTTCCATATTTTATATCATTGAAAAATTGTCAAGTCACCGATTTAATTGTGCATGCCCATATAGACACTAAATTTTGTAATCAGTAACTCTCTCTCCCTTAAACAGTGCTTCACGTTTAAAAAAAATAGAGGAGCCATAAAAAGCTCTTCTAAAATTACAACAGCTGAAAATCGCTCCTGCAAAAATAGCACTTCTCAACTCTAATCCATTATTTAGAAGGACCATTCATGTATTTCATACTCTACTTTGATCATAGATGAAGCCATTTATTGACCATTAATATTTAGAAAATGTTTCGATATTTATTAGAATAAATAAAAAGAAAAATGAAATTTCAGTATCAATCTTTCACTCCTATACTGACTTGATGAAAACCATAAAGAAAAGTCACAGAAAAAATCTTAAGTTTAACTTTGACGCCCTGATAATTTTGGCACAAAGTCTGCACCGTAACAATTCGATGTTTCTCTTTGTTTCCAATGAAAATTTAAACATTGAAAAAATTCAGGACAATGTTCGCAAATAAAGTTTATGTATAATTAGTATAGTTTACAGGACAATTTGAGAAAATTAAACAATTTGGTCAAAAGAGTATTTTATACATGCATGTATATCATTTTTTGCGTAAATAAGTCGGAATGTGAGAAATGAATTCCAGGGGGCGCGATAAACTGTCCTCTGCACGTGATTAATAATAGTATAGTGCCATGTACAGGTGCAACGACGTGTTTGATATTCCATTTTATACCGATATTTTAGAATCCGAATTCTACACATTTCTCAACGGCAGTGACATAGACCTCTAAATTAAACTTTAAACATGATTTGAGATGCATGTTTTACTAAGCGGAATCCACATCAAGACTTTCAGCTAGTGTGGCGATTCGCGCGAATTTTTAGTCCTGCCGATGTCGAAGAAATTAATTACGATATTCACATGGATCAAAATAAGAATCAAAACCATTTAATCGTGTTTGTGTGCATGGATAATTTGTGACTTGGAAAATTATAAATGACAGGTCAGTTACTAAACTAAAGCGACATTTCGAGGCCTGTCTGATTAAACTCTATATTTATTTCTATTTATGTAAATTTAAAATTATTTTCTTTTTTGAAAACCATTAAAAAACACACACCCACACTTATTCCTATTGAAGATTTTGAATGATATTGAGTTGGAGACTTAGGTACTTTAAATCCCATGTACCGGTGTAGAAGGTTACCTTACTAACCTTCTCTTTTAAAAGTCAAATTCCCCAACCCTAACCATTTTTTCTGAACTGTTTCACATCGGTAATGCCCATGCTCTATTTTAGCTAAAGACCCCTATAAATGCACAAGTGAATTATTGAAATAAAATTGAACCATTGAATAAAAATAAAATTGAATCAAAAAGCAACTCAAGGTGATAGATCTTTCGCCGTCGGTGCTCCGAAGTTATGGAATTCAAAATCAAACGAAACCAAAAGCGCAAATTCTATTAAAGGTTTTAAAAAGTATCTCAAAACCGAACTTTTTAATGAAATATACAACTGATTGAATACGTTTCTAGCTGTATTTGTGTCAGACTTTTACCCTGTGTACTAAAAAATGTTCTCCGTTGTTTGTTTGTCTCTTTTATTTTATGGATTAATGTGTTGTGATTGATGTAATTTTATATTAGTTGTATTTATGTAAAGCGCCCGAGAGCAGCTCACTGAGTTGAATTGTTGGCGCTATATAAATCAATTATTATTATTATTATATGTTAGTCCCAAAATGACCTTGTTTTGTGTCGAGTCGACGTTAAACCCCATTTCTCTCACTCTCTCTATTTACCACTGAACGGTTTGTTCTTTCTCCGGTTGTATGTGACAAGGAGAAGGGTCGCCTGTTCAACCTCGTGGGTTTTCTCCGGGTCCTCCGGTTTCCTCCCACTGCTAAAGAACCCTACACACAAGCGAATTATTGAAATAAAATTAAACCATATGTTAGTCCCGAAATGACCTAGTTTGTGTCGAGTGGATGTTAAACCCCATTTCTCTCTACCTCTTATGAATTCACCTGAAATGTTGGGGTAGTTACTGTTTGACTGTAAGTTGTATTTCAAATTGTTGTTGGATAAGGCGAACTATAGTTGCACTGGGGTTAAATTGACATATGGGTCCCTTGCAATTTTGACCCCTACACGCAAGCGAATTATTGAAATAAAATTAAACCATATGTTAGTCCCGAAATGACCTAGTTTGTGTCGAGTGGACGTTAAACCTCATCTCTCTCTCTCTCTCTCCCTCCCTAACAACCCAGGTCGTATAATTAATATTCGTGTGGATTTCTGCACCCAGATTTAAACACTGAATTTTCAGTATATACACCAGTATGAATCAGCATTATTTACCAGAATGTTAGGCTACTCAGTTATTAAAGTAGCCAAGTCTCTAACTCAATATGATCCAAAATCTTCAACATTAAATACACAATTTATTTGTCAAAATAAATCAACAATCATGTTGTGATCTTACCGGAAAAAGATGGGCTTTTGATATCCAATATTTAAGACAAAATAAACATTTTACCATTGGTACACGAATAGTGTACCATAATGCGCTTCAGGCCCCAGTTGTATCAAGAGACTCGAGGGACGAGGCTAGACACATTGCACCAAATCAAACAGCGTATGTAGACTGGAATAACCAGACGCTAGAAATTTGCACTCGCTTGAGACTGCTGGCTTATTTGGCCGAACATAACTGATTTGAAATTGGAGTAAAAACGGAAACCATTGAATGTAAATCAGTTTATATACATTCATATTACAGTATTATATTCGTTGTTACCCATTTTTGTCAATTTCTAGGTCCCAAATGTTAGCGATTTAGCTCCTTTAAGCTAGAAATGCGTGGGAATAAATAATAAACACTTTATGGCATTTAAAGATACATTATGGGCGATTCGATAACGAGTTGGCAGTTCTCACTATAATAGTTAAAAACTAGATAACGTAAAGGCAATTTGCTCAAGATTTTATTCAAATTGATCCACTATGAAAGGAGAACTAAGTGGTTGAAAGTTCCGCAAGCCTTGATCATCATTACTAAAGTCAGTATGATAAACAGCATAGTCTCGATTATCTATTTAATCGTTAAATCGTGAAGGAAAGTTATGCAGTAAATCGGCTCATAATCCACTAAAGATCGCAAGGCGATGCCATCTACAGTTGATTATGGTCTGGATAGGTTATTTAATGTCTAATTAATAATTTAGATAACATTTCAGGCCTAAAGAAAGACCTGCAATAGACAGATTTAGCTTTTGCATAATGTATGTTTAATATGACACAACAAAGGCTATGAAATGCAAGTATCCATGTAGTTTAAAAAAAAAAATCCCCCAAACTCTTTAAGCAATAAATAATAAACACTTTATGGCAGTTTATATGACACAACAAAGGCTATGGAATGCAAGTAATAGTATCCAAATTTATTTTGAGCTTGAGCCAAGCAACCTTAAACGCAGGTATTCTCTATTATTATTATTTGCCTTATCGTCGTCGGGTTTCGTTGGAAATAATGAAAAGTTAACCACACCCTACATGTACGTTCTCTTAGAATAACTTTAGCTTCTCCCTCTATATTGAACAATTATTTGCAAATAATATGCCCAACTGACTTACAATATAATGATTAAAAATACATTAGGTAAGATTTAGATAAAGAGCTTACCATTCTTGTCATAATAATAAGTCTGTCATTGAGTCGACTGGCGTGGTTTCGAATCCCCGGTTGTACGTGACAAGGAGTAGGGTCGCCTGTCCAACCTCGTGGGTTTTCTCCGGGTCCTCCAGTTTCCTCCCACTGCTAAAGACCCCTACGCGCAAGCGAATTATGTAAATAAAATTAAACCATATGTTAGTCCCCAAATGACCTAGTTTGTGTCGAGTGGACGTTAAACCCCATTTCTCTCTCCCTCTCTTGCTATAATAGTTTAAAAATAGATAATGCAAGATGAAAATATTGAAAATTTATATCATTCTGTTTGTAGTTTTGACAAGATGTGTGCATAGTTGTAACCAGGGCAATAGTATATTCAAGACTGTTTGTAGTTTTGACAAGATGTGTGCATAGTTGTAACCAGGGCAATAGTATATTCAAGACTTAGCCTCGCTTTCCCATTTTTAAATTAAACTTTTAAATGGCGAACCATTCTTATCTAGTTAAAATCTTGAATATCTGATGCCATCGAGAGTTGATTATGGTCTTGTCATGTCAATAAATGGATGGTGTTATGCAAATGTGATATAACCCCAAATTTGAAGTTTTGAGAAAACGCTGAAAATAGAAGCCATTCAAATAAAGAAAAATTTCAGAAAACTTTTATTACTTTATCA